CATCAAGTTTGCTTAGTTTATGAGTTAAAAAGAAAGTCAGTCCTTCCAGTTCAGCTTTCAGTCTCATGCACTGGTGTCAGGAATAAAGCTGAAGACTTTGCATCTGCTCGATCCCATTAACCTTCATTTGCACACGTGTGCCCTTGCTAAAGCTTAATTGCAAATACTTTGCAGATGGAGAAATCCTCCTGCTCCTTTCTCTATTTTGTATTAAAACCACAGTGCAGTGCTTAAGTGTTAAGCCGTAATTTCTGAAGAGATGATTTTAGATGCACAGAAGGACAGCAGTCCCAAAGTGATCTTCTGATTAACTGAGATTTCTGTTGCTACAGGTAATTTCTCTGAAATGATCTTTAGAGTAAAGATCTTCAATAGCTTCTGTAAAGGGAAGAGAGCACTTCCCCGACCATCCACTAAAGAAACAATAAGGATGTTCCTACAGGATAGTTCTGAACAGCTGAACATACATGAACTATGAGCTATTGTGGCTTCAGAGCCATTCAACAGTTTTAACTCATCCATAAAAAAATACTGCATCAAAAGTCTTAACCAGAGACTGGCTCATTTAATATCTCTCAGTTCACTGCCTTCTCATCGTCTCCCTCCTGCAGAAATTCCGAAATACCGTACTCCAGCATTTATTTTCATTCCCCTCACCTTTGCTTTTATACAAAAGCAATGATCTCTCTTGGCACTGAGACATCTAAAAAAAAAAAAAAAAACACCCCAAAACCAAAAAAACCCTCCTGAAATTTTAAATAGCTCAAAGAGAAAATAAGAAGTGTTTTCACATATGATAACTTTACATGCATACACTCTTACAGTTTGCACGAAGCACCAAAAAAAAACCCAACCCCCCCCCCCCCAACAAATAAAAAAAAAATACCAAGCAAGAGGTCCTAACTCTTAATGTATGTTCAAGTGAATATTTAGGATATTACCTTAGGAAAGGGTATCAACATGAGCTTATCATTTTAAGGGAAAAGAAATGCGTTTCAGGCGTTATCATAAGACTGCTTTCTACATGCCTATTTGTAGATTAACTCAGTGTACAGATCCCCTTTTGCAAAGGCCAAAATTACAAACATCCTTTTTTGTTTGCAATTTTCCCCCATGTGTCACTTATTACTGTACAATGAAATGGCAAAGATTAACCAAAATGCTAGTGCCCACAAATCTTGTGGTGTTGCTCATGGTCACAGAAAATTTAAAAAAAAAAAAAAAAACAAGTGAGGCTGATAAGGAAGAGCAAGTTAAACATCATTTGCAGCCTATGATTCACCCCATATTGTTCTTCTAGGATCAGAACTGTTTTGGACTACGCACAGCAAAATATTGCATATATCCACCAAAGACAAACTTTTGCTTCCTCTAGGAAATAAGAGGACTTTCCCATGACTTGAGGGCCACTTGCGACAATGAAAGCACAGCATAAGAACAAGAGTAGGATTTTTATTTCATCTGTATTGTAGAAGTGTTTTTTAACAAAATGAATAATTACCATTAACAGCTCTCTCTGTCTCCTGGGCCTTTGAAGGTGTCTTTCCTAGACTGCACTCTCTTGCAAATCATGTAACAGCTTGCAGCATCCAAATGCCAGGGGCTAGTCAAATACAGTTTTCATCTTTAAAACATTAACTATAGGGGAAAGGAATGGAGAATTCAGTCTGTTTAAGCTCCAGAAGAACTGCTGAGGAAGGAAGAGGATTTCGCTGCTGTTCTGCACAGACCTAACCAGCTTGCAGACAGGTGTAACATTATCTCACTAGCACAGCAAATACCTTTGCTCATCTGGAGTGTTTAAAAGCTACCTCTCATTTGTGCCATTTTGTGATTGCTCTTAACAGAGGGAAAATTAAACCTCATAAGTATAATGACCATAAATATTATTTTTTTGTCCGTTAACCTCTCCCTCATACATTCTTATTTTTCAAGTGTATTTTGAAAATATGTAGCTTACTATGGAAGGAAAAACGTGGATTCAGTGTTTTAATTTGGTTTGGTTATCTCATGAGGGAATTACCATGTTTAGTACTGTACATCAGCTCAAACACCACAACTGCTGCATACAATTCACTGTTCTCCATGATTACGTAGTCCTAGATAATTGTCAGATAAACTAAACTGTAACTACAGTTCTCTCTAAAGTTCAGCTATAATAAAATATGTCTGGATGTCAAAATCAACAAAACCCTATAATCAGAGAAGAGAGTTTTTAAAGAGCAACTGAGCTATAACACGAAAACGTTAAATGCTCCTCTCATCCCCCCTCATAAATGAAATTTTCCGGGTCTTTGAACTCAGACCTTACTGCAATCTTGGTCCAGCAAACACTCAGACATATGTTTAACTTTAAACATGCAGACAACTATTTCGGGCTTTAATCAGCATCTCTAAATCTTGGTGCAGGAAATCACCAGTATTTTTATATCAGACGATTACTTTGAAATATGAGTTACTGGAAAAGATACAGATTTCAATCTTTACATGGTCTGTCTTACTTATGTACAAGCTCAACATCTTACAAAATATATTTATCTAATAGTCATCTTTCCAGTTACATTTCATGGTTCAAGTTCTCTAAGCAGAAATAACTGCCTGTTCTCCCTCCCTTTTAAATCTGTTCCCCAAAATCCTAAAGTACATCAGCACAAATTCTTACTTTTAATCATAGAAAGTTATAAGCTACAACATACATGCAAAACAGTCTTCTATTACGGTTTCTAATTTAAATCATTGACTCTAATGAAAATAAAAAGTCAAAACACAACAGATCTTCAAGGTTGAAAAAGACAAGTTTCAGTTTGGGAGAAAATTGTATGAGCCATTCTAAATAATGATTCATCAAAGAGGAGAGAAAAGCATGAAATAAAGCTGATAGTAGTCAAAAGGTGCTGCAATAGCTTTCATTTTTTCTTTGGTGTCAGATAAGAACTTCTTAGGAGTTAAAAAAGCATGTGGTACACATGGCAGAAAACAATCCTCTGACAGATTAGCAGAAAAAAGTAACAACATAAAGCTATACAATTTACTCCTCTCTTCCTTTTTTTTTCTTAGTATAAAAACCACAGCGCGCACAAAATATAATGAATGAGCATCTTTATAAGCTTGCAGGTGTATAGAGAAACAAGACGAACAGGATTATAGTGTTTTTCCTCCCAAAGAAATAGTGACAAGTATATTCTAGAAACACACGTTAAAAGACAAAGATATACACATCTAAGTGAAAGATACTAGCACAGAAAAAAAAAAACGCCCTCTGCAGAAATACATTAAATTTGATTAAAGCTCAGAGCCTTAGACCCTACCTTTTCAGTAAAAGAGAAAATTCCAATTTCCTTCCACTTTCAGTCCAGCTATCAACCCCCTGCTGCCAACACAGCACTTACAGAAGCCTGGGTCTGTCTCTGTGCAGCTCCTCTCCCTTCCCTTCATCTGCTTTGTGACTCTCAGAGACCTGCTCGCAAACGGAGAGGACTCGGTGTCCTTACAGGAGACAAGAGAACAGGCAAGGCGTGACTCCCGTGGTCCTTACCTTCCCCCTACTCAGAGACTGCGCATCCAGCTTTCCCGTCCAAGTTACTTGGAGGGGATTTCGAATAGATGCTCAGAAATTTAAGGACAACAAAAATCAAAAGAGTTCAGGTTTCCTTTAGAAACTGGGCTCCTTGATCCGCCTGATGCTGCTGACACTAAGGTGGGCATGTGATTGGGGGGGGTGGGAATTATTAAAGAGCATCAAAGGAAAGAGATGGGGGCTCCTCTGCCTGGAGGTGACGCCCCTTCCTGCCTCCCCTCCTTGGCTGGAGAGGAAACAAAATGGAGCCTAGGAGGGAGGGAGAGAGATAATCCTGCTGCTTCATCTGATTAGAGGAACCGGGCCTGTGCAGAGCCAGCAACTCCGCCAGGGAAGCACAGGGAGGGGAGGTAAAGAGGGGCAGGAAGAGGAGGAGCAGACAGCAGAGGAAAAGAAAGGAGAAGGGAGAAAGGATTATGATAACAGGTATACGAAGGAGCTGCCCTGGCTGCATTCACTTTCTACCCTCATACAAATGGGAAAACACCAGCAGGAAATACACGCTGCTTCTAGTATCCCAGAATAAAAAAAGGCTAAAAAAAAAAAAAAAACCCACATACAAAAAACCCCCACCAAAAAAGCCACCTAGCCACCCTAGCACCCAAAAACCAGAATGCATCAGTTGAAGGTGCACAGACTGAGAGCAAGGATGTCCCAATGGATACAAAAGAGTGACATCATTTGAGCTAGGGAGGAGAGAGGGTAAACTCTCCTGGCTACAAACAATTGCTTACTTCATGGTGGATAGGACACAACTTGGATGCAGTTGGGATGCCACATCCCTGTCCTTGTGTTTGCACAGAGGGTGGGGGGACGTGGCCCTCTGGTGTGGGGAACAGACAGCAGCATCTGCTCCAGATGGGGAGTGGGGGGGGGGGGCGAAGCACCGCGGGG